TCTTTTTTGTTTTTTAAAGCAGATGAACGTTCTTCTGTCTTTTGATATATCATATGTTTAATCAGTGGCGTAGGTTTGATTTTGAAATTGGTGGGGATGGGGACATCAATTTATAAATATATTTTAAGTTTTGATCGAAATTATTGCTAGGGATATTATCAGTGCCACTTAATATTGGTAAGGACGTGGTTAGTACTAAATTCTAGGCCCCTGCAAAAAAATAATATAGGGATCATGACATTTTTGTGAAAATTACCAAAAAAGCTGGCGGTGACTTGCAACTTTTTAAAACCCTATAGGGAAAGAGTTAAAAATACAAGCAACTCTCTCCTAAAGAAAACATCTGCCATGATGTTAATCTTTAAATAACTTTTACCGCAATTAAAAAGTCTAGAATCAGGTTTTTGTGACAGATAAAACCAGCTAAACAGCATAATTTGCTATATTCATTACATTTTCTCAAACTAATCGCCATTGTCAGCTATAGTTAAAGTTTTTTGAAGTAGTTGATAGCCATTAGACAGCATAATTCTGTTGTTCACTACTAAACTTGAGGACTATTAACTACAACTCCGCAGAAAGTATCTGAGAGGAGTTTCAAACATTACAAGTGAACAATATAAAGGAGAAAAAAGGGTAATATTATAGTATAGAGTTTTAGTGGGTGCTTTGTATAGCATCGTGTCAATCGTATTCTATTTTGCACTTGTATTAATCTTTACTTATTATATACTTTAATTATTTTCTGTATTGTATATTTCACTACTAGTATTGTGCAAACACTTTGGCAATATCCTAAATGGAATGGCAATAATGCCAATAAAGCTTTGTTGGCTCGAAATGAAAATGCACATCAGCTTTTTAAAAAAAAACAACAACAACAATATGTTTACCCCCTAAGCTAAGCCTGTCCATACACTCCAGGTATACTCCCTTGGGTTTGTTTATGTTTCTCTTGCCTAAACAAGGAGGCGTGGGCTAAATTTGCATAATCAGAAAAGATTGGTTATTCTGTGGCAACAGTGTCGTTAGGTTTACAATGTCTTAAGATAACAGAAACAGATAACATCACCTAATGACTATATAATGTAACTAGCCCTTTAGTGACCTATTGAAACCAATAGAGCACCTGGTTTCTGTAAACACAAACCAAAGTCCTAAACAATGCACTTACCTCATTAATGGAGCTAATAGTCTTCTGTTATGTCAACCAAAACAAACCATTACTAGAAACTCTTGAAAGTGATACACCTTGAACATACAGAGGTAAATTTTGACGTGTTTCAGGTTTTGCAACCCTTTGCTTGAAATTTCTGAATATGTACAACTGCAATACTAAACCAACAAAACTGGCCTTACCAAATAGGGCTGCATTATATTGGAACAATTTCAACAGATGACCTAAATAGCTCTATTTTGGAAAGAATTAATCATTCTAGAATGATTGGGGTGATTTTGTAGAAAGTGAATCTGCAAAAAAAAATAATAATAAACACATTACGAGGATTGATAAATACAATAGAACAAAGATAGAAATGAAATAAACAGTGGTTTATGTTTTTTCAGGTAAGTCTAACAGTATTCAGGTACAAAAATTGAATAATCAAAAGTAAAAATAACATTAGTCTTCACCTTATAAGTAAAATTAGGGCTGCCCTCGATTTCCACGGCGCACCGGCAAAGGTATAATGATTATGAATGTGTCGTGAAAAACAGCAAAGGGATTGTCTGAATATTTTAATAATTTATAATAATAATTTATCAATTTATTAATTTATGTTTCAAAACATAATTTGAGAATTTTTTGTTTTCCATTTGAATTGGTTCATTTAAAAATAAAAATTTCATGCTTTCAATAGATGTATTTCTCATGTCTGTGAGGAAAGTTCACGTTGAGTTCCGGATTATTTCTTGACGCGCTCAAATTCACAGAGACCAAGGCTGCAGAAAGCGCATCCTGATTGTTTTCGATCTTTTACGAAAAGCACAATGTTTAGTTATTGTGATTGCACACAAATAAAATTGGTTAGTTTCGAATGACGTATTAGGCTACTCTTGATATAAGACACTTTAATATTCGCCTAATAATAGCACACATTTATATAGGTTAATATTAAAGCCAGAAGTTGCTACTACTTACATGTTTCAAACGATAAACCGTATTTGGGATCTGTGTTTTCCTGCACATACTGTAATTACCACAAGGAACCGCCGTCGACTGGTCGACTAAGTTAAAGCTATTTAAAAGTCATTTTCATTTTGTATTTTGATGTATGATTAAAGACAAACAGCAGCAGGAATTTTATGCGACTGTCACTTTAAGAGATAAAGCACGAATCCAATATAATGATACGCATCTGTTTTCTTTCTCTAATGTTTACGTTCACATGAGCCATAAACAACTGTACTTATAACTATCCGAGACAGGCATCTTGACATAATTTTCCAAGCATCCGTCCAAGAACATACAGATGCGAAAAAGAACAGAATTTAGTGTTCGCGTGCTTTGTGCTAGGCTCTGTATGTGCACATAGAAAACAGCGAGCGGGTTTCGAATTTGCGTCTTGCACTCAAATTATTTAAAATCGCTTGAATGTTTAAACTGACAGTACCTAAAACACATGATAAAAAAAAGTTTCGCTTTATGATGGTTAAACATTTGCATTCATGCATTTGGAACTGTGGGGCCTGGTCTGTATTGATCACATATCAACAACGATCCCTATACTTGACATCGCACTTCATGCAATGTGTCTATCACTGATGTGCACATCACGATATCGATGCTAAAAGGATATATCGTGCAGCCCTATCACAAACCCTTCCATAAAGGAAGTGAATAATGTCTTTATAATATCTACAAGGGCCAAAACATATTTTTTACAAGTGCCTAGTCTACACAAATGAGAAAAAGTTATTTAAGCAAAAGTGTGTATGTGTGTGTGTGTGTTATGTCAAATTCTTCTGACCAAGGATTAATAAGTAAGCCTGTACACAATTAAGCTAAATTTGTGTCCATTTATCTGAAAGGCACAGAAGCTCCCCCTATTGACACCTTATATTTAATTAGCATGGCTATTTCTGCTAACACACCAACACATCGCAGATATGCTAATGCAGGCTACACTGCGAACACGAAGGTAAAATGCTCCATCAGCTAAGAGAGTGGCAAGAGCTGGATCGAACACGCTCAATGACCTGGACCCCTTTTTAGACAGTCAGCATTTCACCTGGTATGATGCAAAGATCTTTAAGCACTGTAACTCAAACTTTTCCACTAATGACTATCATCACGACTGTAGAAACTACAAATAAAGTTGTGTTTTATGAATTAAAAACTTGCATTTTAATATTAACATCATGATGTTTTAGAGCACTGTTTTATCTTGGGGCCATTGTCAAAAGTAGACTGAATATAAATGGTAGCTTGTGATAGCACATTAACCATATTATGAAATATTATCCTGAGTAGGACATTCAGTCATCTTGACTGTACACGTATAAAGGAGCCAGCTGGGTAAATGTTCATACATATTTTAAAAGCTGTTAACTAGTACTAACAATATGAATTAAGATCGCATGAATATGTGTCATAAATCTGACAAAATCTCTGTGTAATAAAGATTAAAAGTGTTTTTCTAAGTCTATTTATTTATGTGTGTGCGTAAAGGTTGTGTAATTATGTTGTCCACCCTTTCCCTGTAGTACTGCTATCAACAAGCCTGTCAAATTTCTGGGCTGAATATTTCAGTTTGCAAAAACCGAGGTCCTCCCTTGTAACCGCCAAACAGTCATACTCCTATGCATGCCCCCAAACATAGACACATCAATCCAAACATACACACTGCACGCATACAAACACTCTTGCAATCCCAAGCTTTTTTCATTCTCATAAGTAATCCATATTACTTGTGTGTACAGTCTCATGAAGGCCTGGACACAATGCCAACACATTGCAGCGGAGAAACAAATGTTAAGATTTATAGTTCCTGAGTAAACACGATATATACACAAAGGAAAAGAGAGAATGTGAAGAGGGAGATTTGTAAGTGAATCTGTGTGTTTGCATTGGAGAGAGAGAAGAATAGAACCATTTTACACAATATAACTGCAGACAGTGCATTTAAACATCTGCTCTGTCTTAGGTGGAGTTTACTTACACATCCAAAAGAGAACAGGGTGAAAAACAAATCATATTAATGTCCTTATGATAATCTGTATTAATATGTGTCAACACAAATATACAAATACATAAACATGCCGTATGTCTGTAATCTTTACAGTTTAATCCTCATTCAAATATCTACAGATGTCAATCCCACTACAACATTACACTACACAAAATGTAAAATGCAATAATAATATTTATTAATTTATTAATTAATTTATTGTATTTATTGGTTCTTTTTCTACAAAATAATAAAGAAAGAAATGTATTGCAATAACAAGGTCAGTCAATAAGCTTTGCCTGCCAGCTGTCAGCATGATAGGCTACAGGTTCAGATGGACTGCGTGAACTCAGTATCACATTAGCTAGATTATTACAATAATTAAATAAAATATATTGTAAATCGTGCAGCCGCGCTCATTCCTGCACGGACAAACGTGCGCGCGGATAGCACGGGTTTATGACAGAGAGAAGCGCACGTGGCCTCACGAGCCGCGGGATCATCCAGGGAGAAACCGAATTATAGCGGGCTAGATAATATCAGCGGAGGAGGAGGGTCGGTGAGAGATATTTCTACGTCAAAATAAATGGAAAAAAAGAAATAAAGAGGCGTCGCTGAATCGCTGATGCTCTCAGAGGACTCTGCGGGACGCGCGTCTCCGCGTAAAGGGAAAAAAACAACTAAAGTTTGGAAATAACATGCACAGCAACTCATCACCATGCAACATCGTGTGAAGCGCAAATAAGGCGTGCTTTATCCTTTTATCACCTCACAAAGTGTTAGCACATCAAAATCTAGGACAAATTCAAATGGCATTAAAACGCGTCTTACCGGCTTTGCAGGGATCCTTGTAGTCTATCGTCTCTGTTTTCTCGTCTTCATAATAATCATAACTGTCATCATAATCTAAACAGTTGTGTTCGGACACTTTGCCCCAAAAAGTCAAGCCGGCCAACAGTAGTGTGATCCAATTCATTTTACTGGTCAGTGCAGGATGAATGTAGTCCATCTGAAGTTTGAATGAGCGCGGATCAAAGTGGAGTGTCTCTTAAGAGTCCGGTAGTAGTGAATTTAGCGCTACACGCGCCGTAAGGACATCATTGTGTTCATTGTCATCATTGGTCCGGTTCGACAGACGGGGCAGGGCAGGGCCGTCAGTGTCGCGGCATCTCAGCTGGAATGCAGATACCACCTCACTTTTCTTTTCTCTTGCTGTCAGGTTTCCTGAAGAGGGAGAGCTGCAAATGAAGGTCAGTCTTTAAATGATATGAAGTAGTAAAATCACTGGAGACAGATGGTGAGACATGATATACATTTAAATTATTATTTAGCTAAGCTAAATAAAGAGGTTTAGCCTTTACATATTTAAATTAACCTGAGCAGAGTTTACCCACCATCCCCATACAGTGGGCTATAGCTAAAAAAAACTCGAGATAGATAGATAGATAGATAGATAGATAGATAGATAGATAGATAGATAGATAGATAGATAGATAGATAGATAGATAGATAGATAGATAGATCTTTTACCCACTATCATACATTTAAAGAACAGACATATTTTTCGTGCATTATAAACAAAGGAAACTATAGGCTATCTGTTTTAAGCTACTTTAACAATGGCAACCGATTTCACCCAGAACAAGCCGGTAGCTGTAAAAGTCACACGGTCACTAAAATTTGCGCAATAATCCGGCAAATGAACTGTTTTTTTCCGTCGCCTATACAAAACTTCAGGATGTAACGCAAGTTCCATGTAGGTGAGATCGTATTTAAAAACTGTTATACATACAATAGTTGCTTTATTAGGAGGTGACAGTAAAAGCGGCTGTGGTGTGACATTTAACAAACCTATTTAACTCCCCTCATAAAGTAGGTCTCTCTCTCTCTCTCACACACACACACGCGCGCACGCGCGCGCGTCTCTGAACTAAAATCAGTTTCTCGGTGTGTGATTTGCTGCGTGAAGCTGCTTTAAGTTGGTCAGTGTACTGTGGATCTCAAAATAGTTGCAGCTGAAACAAGGAAGCCAAGAAATACTATATAGCCTACTAGAGGAAATAAGTGAGAAGTTTATAGCTGATATATTTCTTTTATTCAACACATCTTCAGCAGAACTTGTGTCAAAAGGCGGAAAGGACTCATGAACACGGCTTTGAACTCGTTTTCTCAGGTCTTGACTAATACAATTTGCCGGAGATGACCCTGGTTAAACCCTACCAGGTAGGCTACTCTTCAAACGCGTTCACGGTGAAGCCGGTCCGGTTAAAGTGCAATCGTCATCTGACAGACCAGAGCGCAAGTAGCCTATATGGAGGAGCGCGAAGAGACTCGAAACATTACCGCGCACTACTTTACAAACATAAAGAATAGACGCGCCGCAGTTTAACACTGTGGCGTCAAATCTTGTTAAAATATGAGAGAGACGGAGCTTACCTCAGAGAATGCCCTCAGGGTCTAGTGTTTTACAGCCTCAAAGCGCAGGCTCATCCTGAGTACTGCCCTCATATTCCCCCTCTCTCCCTCTCTTTCTCTCTCTCCCTCCCTCTCTCTCTCTGGAAACACTTCTCCCACAGCCATTGGAATATTAGAGTGAGCTTGCTGACTGGTACCGCTTATTCCAAACGTGCCCATTTCCCTGGAGATTAACGCGTCTCTTTCCTTCTCTCTCCCCCCCCCCCGGCAAGGTAACTGCGTGTTGACGTCACGCCATCAATCCATCAAGCCATGCCTCACTTGGGAAAAAAAAAACTCAAGCACTGCACGACAAGAGTGTTTGTAAACTAGCTTTACTGTGGTTCGAATGACTACAGCATGCATGGTTGGCTGCTAACAGGCCATTTGTGCATCCTGATAAAAAGTCAAGAGAGAATCTGCTGATAAATGGAACAGGGAACATACTCTTTCTCGGTATGTTTGAGTACATGCCAGTGTATGTGTGTGTAAATAAGGTTTTGCCTATATTGTGGGGACCAGAGTTACAAAATAATAAAATGCAGAAAGGTTTGTGAGATTGGTGTTAAAATAAATAAATAAATAAATAAATAAAAAATCATTAGATCCACCTAAACAACATTTAATTTGAATTAATAGAAGAAGAAAAAAATAACATACAGATAAATGAAAACACGTTATTGAAATATATTAATGTCATAAAAAGAATCTGTTTCTAAAATAATAAGGGAGATATGATATGATAGGTTTGCAATCATTACAGTGTTTCAGGAGGACTATAATATATTACATTATGAAAGATAAGGATAAATTACATATGTGACGTTTTATTAACAAAGTTCGGGAGGAACACGTTCAAATGATCTATCAGATCAGCACAAGAGATTGCCAATATACACAGTCGACTTACCTATGTTCCTTGACAGTTTTCTGCATCCCTCCTCCACCCCGACTCCTCACTCTCGGCTGTTTCTTGTCCCAGCCAGGGATGCAGGGGGAGTAGGCCTATTCTGGGTTTGGGCCAAATTCCGAGCTCGGAGCCCTCCCCTTGCCAGCACTCCAAATACGCAAACTCTTTTACCCTATCCGTTTATTTGTAAGTGTGAACTTGTTAAGTTTTGTCCGTAATTAGGCTACCAAACATTTGTGTATGGGTTTGGCTATACTGAATTTTTGAAAATGTCCTCCCAAATATAGTGAAGCATGTTGAAAACATCTTGTGAGGACATCTGATGTGGTCTTCATTATTTGAAATGCTCATAAATCAGCCAAGAAAAACGTATGTTTACACAACAGTGATGCACTAAAAATGAAAGTCTTTCCTTTGCGTTTTTGAAAAGTTTTGCATCTAGACGACAATGTTGTCCAAATGATACACGAAAACGACTAAAAACGCTGTATTATGCATGCCACGATAGTAGCTGGCGATGCCACTTTGCAAAGAAACAAATACAGGGCCTGTAAACTGAACACGTAATACGCATGCGCATGATGTCACTGTTTTCGCAAATTCACATTTTTTGCAGTTTACATAGACACTATAACGATATCGGGTCAGGCACTTCGAAAGCCCATTTTCAAAAGTTTGCATTTTCAGGTCCCCAAGTTTTTTTTACTTGTCGTGTAAATAGCCCCTTAAATCAACAGGGGTCCATTCTTTGTACCCCACTTACAGTAATACATCTGAGATGATTTGACAGATGTCAGATCTTCTAATCATGATTACTGATCTCTGGCTAATTTGGTTCTTCAAATAAATTTGTTGATTTGATTAGAATATATTGATTAAGTTCTCTGAGATTACTGCCCATTCTTCTGTTCTGTAAAGAGCAGATATAGTGATACTTAAAACCATGATCTGATCCACGATGAATAATTTCTGCCCAGTGATGTCAGCTGCTAAATATTGCATTTGATAAGACATTTTTCATTAAAATTAATAGTCTAATTAAAGATGGCCAATCAACTTAGGCTTTTTAAAAAAATGTGGTACTATTATGAGTCATTCTGGAATACATCTGACTAAATACACTTAGAATAAACATATGTGACCAGGTAAAGTGTAAAAATTTTTTTCAATTAATTGATTTGGAGATTCCACTCCATAGAATCCACACATACAGGAAACAAGGTAAATGTGTCACATACTAGGAGAAAATTAGGCTTCGAGCTCTTAAACCTAAAATGTTTGAATTGCTCAACTAGAATCTCAACGCAGTTTTTGCACAGTATTTCAGCACTAATCAGACGTCTATTCCAGGACTTTAATGGATGACATCTGATCCACAGTAACCTCAGCAGAATTCTACTAATAATTAAATAAAGAGGTTATTAGCATGGAGCTATCAGATTGACTTACAAAGCAATTATGTTTTAATAACAAAGTTCGGGAGGAGCACGTTCAGATAATTAACATGAGTGGAGAGCACACAGCAATCAATGATAAGAGGTGTAGGGCCTATATATATTCACCAGTCACACCTCAATTTGTGTTTAGCAGCCTCCCTCCACTTGTAATCATTTACATAAAAAGGGGGGGGGGGGTAACTGGCTTCGAGCCGAACTCAGAGCCCTCCCCCCAGACAGCACGCCAAATAGGCATTAAACTTTACTCCCTCTAATTGTATGTAAGTGTGAACTCGTGAAATGGGCTAAAGACGTGAGTTTATCTTACTCCAATCAAAACCCTCTAAGTAGTAGTACATTTAAATAAACAGAGCAACAGTTTTAGGAGCAATCAAAAATGAAGTTACAAAAGAGATACAGGGCCCTATCTAGCACCCGGCGCAAATGACTTTATACACGAACGCATTTGTCATTCCTATTTTGCACCAGCGCAAAACGGGCTTTTCCTTCCACAGACGCACGTCGGTAAACTAGGGAGCGAAATTGCGCCGCTGACCAGAAAAAAAAAATTAGTCTAAAGTCAGTGGCGTGTTGCGCGTACTTTCAGATGCTATTTCAAGCGCGCATGCTTGGCCAGTGTGAACAACGCACATACACTGTAGAAGATTCTCTCATCTACACAGATGCATTTTACTTTTTGCAAATGATACATTATTATAAGGAAAACTATTAAAACACGAGGGAAATTACTGTTCTATTCATGACAATGGGAAAAATAGAAGCTTACACCTTTACCCAAATTATTATATGCATGTACAACGCTAAAGCTAATTTGGGTGTGTTTGTCCCATCCCCAATGTCACTTCTCTTTCTTTTACGGCCCTGACGAGAACATCGATTTCCTCGGCTGTTAACCGATTGTGAAGCGCGTCTGTTAAATGCGTCGTTATAATATTATTGCGCCATGGAACAAGCGCACGTCGTTCATCATGCTCTTAAAGGGAATGCGAGATGACGCTCTGATTGGTTTATTTCATGTTACGCCCAAACCACACCTATGAATAATGAAGCTACTTCAGACCAACTCCTTTTAGATTTGCGTCAGGCGCAAGAGGCATTTATCCCGCGGGACAATAGCAACAGCGCCGGGATCTGCCCACAAAGTTACTTGCACTTTGCGCTTTGACACTTGCGTTTCAGATCGTTAAAATAGGGCCCATAAGGTAAAGAGATGAATGCATGTTAACTAAACTAAAAATTATTTTCTTATTGTGAAATGCTTTGTAAACTCTTTATATTGAAGCAAAATCACATTAAAGTTAAAATATGTAAGAATTTTGTAATAAAATATCCAAAAAAAATCACTTGCACAGTGTGATGTATTTCCTGCAGTTGTGTACTTACAATATCCCAAAAGTCTCCAAAGATTTTTTATTTCAGAGAAATTCCAATTTTAAATAAGTGGCCGTCCCGCAAAAAAAATGTCGCCTGTCAATGACACAATATCCGCGCTATCCTCAGGTTCCGCTCATACTGCCATAGCAAGACGTAACCATGGCGATAGACGCGAACAACTCTGTAGTGCGTAACATTTAGCGGCACGCAGTTCTTGTTTCTTTCAAACATAGACCATAGCAAGCAAAATTTGGGACAAACAAGAAGAACTAAAATGAGGATCAATCAGCGAGGCGTTTTTGAGATGCCGAGAGCTCCACGTCCCCGACTAACTTGGACTTGACAGAGCTTCACGAGTCATGACTTGACAGCTTTATTAGACAGGTGAGCAAATGTACATAAAATAAACCAATGTAATATATCGTTAGCTCAACATGATGAAATGTTAGAGTATGGTCAGTATGTTATTCTAATGTTGATCTAGCTTAGTTACTTCTAGTTTCATACAGCAAACGAACTAACACGTAGTATAACAATATAACTTTCAACACACATTTAAATGCCGTTTAGTGTGATATAGTGTACTGTTAGACCAGGTGAAGCAACGCTGCGGTACCTCACAAGTTTAATTCGTCTAATAAACGAGTGAGTAATGAGTAATCCAGCACTTGCGGATAATTAAATGTCCTCATTCCTTTATATCCGTGGGACTCACGTGTGTGATATCTGACTCCTTAGCAATCGTGACCTGCTTCATACCACTGTAATGTTAAAAAACATGAATGTTTGCACTCATCCATAAACATTATTAGATCCATCAGCTTGACAGCAAGTCCCATCATTCAGCTCATCACTGCGTCATAAACCTACGCCTTTGTTATTGTTGGAAACTGCGCCCTTTTGTGGTAAACAAAAAACCTATGTTTTCTCATTCCTCATTGACTACCATAGTAGGAAAAAATACATACTATGGTAGTCAATGGGGAATGAGATCTGTTTGATTAAAACATTCTGCCAAATATCTTCCTTTGTGTTCAGCAGAACAAATAAACACATAGAGGTTTGGAACAACTTGAGGGTGAGTAAATACTGACAGAATTTTCATTTTTGGGTGAACTAACCCTTTAAAGGACAAGTTCGGTATTTTACACTTAAAGCCCTGTTTTAAGACTCCGTGGGACAAAAACTATGATAAAACCTGTTGGAAATCTATCCAACCATTGTGGAGGTGGGGGGGATAGGGGTGAACAGACAACAAAAACCGAAAAATTCTCGGGACAGCAGCATGTGTCCAAATTTTAATCTTAACCATTCTATTTCATCAGTAACGATCTTAAAAGCGGGCTTTAAGTGTAAAATAATGAACTTGTTCTTTAAACAATGATTTGTTCATACTGTAAAGTGTAACAACAACAATCACCAAGCCATTGGCGCACTCTGAAGGCATTTGTTATAAT